TGATTTACTTTAGAGAAATAATCATGAGCAATAACAACATAGTCGAAATTAAACGAAATTAAGTATACCTGAAAATGATCTAACAACAAACGTGAAAGTGGCGGGAAATCTAAATGGTTGATCTGCTGCAATTGCCAATAAATCTTCACCTGTTTATAAAAAAATAAAATAATAATAATCAATTAATTATTGAAAAACTAATTAATTAATTATTGAAAAAACTAATTAATTATTGAGAAAACTAAATCTAAAAAATTGTATAATTGGACTAGGGGAGGTCCAATACACAATCCCCCATTAAGGTAAGATAAGAGCTCATTTTTTTACATAATTGCGGGCCGGCCCGGAAAGTTATTGCATTGACCAAATATCAAAATCAGACGTAATTATTTAATTTAATGATGGCTAATTTAACCAACGAAACGAGGCCTTAATTATAATATTGGACTATAGGAGGTCCAATAAATAATCTCACAATTAGCAAATATTAGATCCATTTTTTTCCCACAATTACGGGCCGTGCCGAAAAGTTATTGGACTGACCAAAACATCTCAATAAGTTAAAACTATTTAGTTAATCACGGCTAAGCTTACCAACCAAACGAGGCCTAATAAAACAAGATAAGAGTTCATTTTTTCATAATTGCGTCTCGGCCATAAAAGTAATTAATTAATTAACGAATGGCGTATTTTACCAACAAAATGAAACTAAATAACGTCGGTGAAATTACCTATTGCAGCAAGACGTTGCTTCTTTTTCTCGACCATTTCCTCTTTGCTCAACGGCTTCTTAAATCCGAGTTCTTGTGTCGCTAATTCCTTTTCTTTTCTTTGCGCCGCAAGGCGTTCTTCGAAGCTGCACAACAAATTCACTTTTTTAAGTTTTTAATTTTTAAAATTCAAAATTTCGAGACAACCGAATCTTTTTTTTCCCGTCACTAAAATAGAGTTGCTTCGTAAAACAAAAAAAAAAAATCAATTTTATAAGGCGAAAACCTGTTGAGGAAGAACTGAGCGGTTCGTCTGACAGCTGTCATATCTCCTGTAGGGACTAAAACACCCATTTGAACCATTGCTTGAAGCACCTGTACCCGATTAATTAAAACATTTTATTCGGGTGGAATAAAAAAATATTGATATTTATATATAGCAAAAATATCAAAATTACCTTTTCAGCATCTTTTTCGTAAACTCCGTAAAATACTTCTAGCAAACCTTCTCTGATGTTTTGACTTATACTGCAAAGATAAAATGACAGGACATTATTTTGCAGTTATAACATCCAACTCGTATTAGAAACAACATTGAAGAAATGTACCTTCCCATCATCCCAAAGTCGTAAAAAATCAATCTTCCACCATTGAAATCATCCACAGCAATATTTCCGGGATGCTGCATTTGAATCGAGGATCAACATGGTTAACCGAAAGAAAGGCAGATAGTTTTGAAATTATGACAATTGACAAGTAATTCATTATTCTACAATGTAGGAGTAATTTCAAATGCAATTTCCGAATTCTGACGATTCTGATCAAAATATTTCCGATTTCCGAATTTTTCCGATTTTTTTTTTTTTTGAACAGAATTGGAATTTATATTAGATACCGAATTCCTATCCGATTTTTTTTTTCTTTCCAAAAATTAATCTTTAAATAATGATATTATCATATATTTTATATTATAGGTGATTAAGAAAATGGAAATTCCGAATTCTGCCGATTCCCGAAAATTTTCGATTTTGGAACAAGTTTTTCATTCCGATTTCCCCATTTTTTTTTCGAAATAACATAAGAACTAAAATTAGTACTCGGATAATTCTTCCTTCGACTAAGTCAATTTTTTGCTAAACTTATAAATATATACGAAAATTCTAACTAAATAGCTCCGAGAAAAACTCACTGGATCAGCATGGAAAAATCCGTGAGACAATATCTGCTCCAGGTAAGATTCGACAGCATAACGACCCAACCTATCAAGCATTAAGCATCATCAGCAAAATCATATACGATTCTTGAAATTCGATTAACGTTTTACAATTGACGAGTGCGATCCTAATTAGACTTGTTCGATATTTCGCATCTTACTTCTTGCGATCCATACCCAACTGGTCCAAGGCTTTTATTCTGTTCATTTTGATTCCCGGAACATATTCCATTGTTAGAACCTAGAAAACAAAAAATCAAATACATAAATTATAAAAAAAAAAAAAAAAAAATCTAGTATTTAAAAATTTGAAAAATTAAACTTCGGTAGGTTTAGGACATAATACCTGTGGGGTAGTGTATTCCCAATCTATTGTCGGGACTTTGACGTAATCCAAATTCTTGAAATTTTCCGCAAATTTCTCGGCATTTGCAGCTTCTTTCGTATAGTCGATTTCCTAAAAATTAGTAACCACACTCAATTATATACTCTTACCATAATTCGAATATATTTTATTTCTCTTCAATCCATATATATAAAACCAAAATACCCGTAACCAAAATGCAGTTAGACCATTCGTTCCCGAAATTTATTAGTTCAAAGAATCTTCCCTCGATTAGTACATTGTATAATTATACGAGTGTGTTTACAAATACAGAAAAAAAATCATATATAACAATGTATTTAAATCAATTAACTACCTGATATAAGACAGTTGCACATTCATCATAGATAGCGACCCAATCCCTTTTCGCACCATCAGATTTAGGATCGATTTTCTGAAGATACTCAGCTATTACCTAAGAAAAAGGGTCGATTTTATATCAACTTTTATTTTTAATGAATTTTAAACAAGATCAAAATGAAGATATTTTTTTTAATATTTTGACTAACCCTTAGATTTTTAAGGTCGATATCGAACAAATCTTTAAGACCAGGTCTTTGTACTTTGATAACAACTTCTCGCCCCTTCAATTTCGCTCGATGGACCTGGCCTGCATAAAGATCATTTTTTTTTAGGTAATAAAATTAAAATAAATTAATTGCAATAATTTAAAATGAATTAAAAAAAAAATACCGAGACTTGCTGCTGCAATTGGCTCTCGGTCGAATCTTTCAAATATATTATCTACAGGTGCTCCAAGTTCTTCCTCGATTATCGATACAGCTGTTTCTGAAGGAAAAGGAGGAACTTGATCCTGCAAAAAAAAATGCAATTTATTTCGTAAAATAACAATAGAAAGAGCATTTTCGAGATTCTCTTGTGCAATATTTAATTTCAAGAAAGCATAAATGATTATATAACAGATAACTGAATTTCACCTGAAGCTCCGATAACTGATCGACGTATTCTTGTGCGAGAATATCTACTCTTGTAGAGAACTGCTGACCGATTTTGATGAATGTGGGGCCCAGTCTCAAAATATTTTCTTTCAACCACTTTGCGAGAATCTTTCGCCTTTGAACCCTTTTTACGTCCGTCATTCCACCTGAGCTCATGCATTTTTTTCGAGTCCGTTATAATATAAAAATGAAAAAAAAATGTAAATGTAAATGGAGACGAAAAACACAACCATAGCACTAATTAAGCAAATTAATCTTGTAATAAGAGGACTCGGCTTCTAGAAGAAACAGATAATAATCGATGAAAAACACAAGAAACAAAAGACTAATACAAAAAATGGGGACTAAAATCTGTTTTGACTAACCTCTGTAAGAGAATTTCTGATTGTTTAACCAAATTCGGAAGATAAAAGTGAGAATAGTTCCCCATATTTCGAGGGTGCGCTGAATCGTCGAATAGGTTTTAAATCTGTTCCAACGACCACCGGGAGCAACAGATACCTGTCGGAACATTAAACAATTTTTATTTCAGACAAGATTTATACGCCATTCAAAAAAATATATAAATAAATAAAAAAACTGTTAAAAATTCGCCTCTTTGCTCACATAAAGTATGTATCATTGTCTCTATTATCATCTATGGCCTCGTTTGGTTGGTAAGATTAACCGTGATTAATCAAATTGGACTTTATTGGATGTTTGGTTAGTCCAATAACTTTTCGGGTCAGCACGCAATTGTAGAAAAATGGCTCTAATCTTGGCTAATTGGGAGATTATTTATTGGAATTGTTGGAAATATTAATATTAAACGATACATCTCACTAACAGCTTAAGCTTTTGGTTGAGGTGGTCATTCATCAGGAACTACAATACAATTGGATTTTCATAAGATTACTTAATCATATCTTGGATAATCTTGTCTTAAGAACCAAACGAGGCCTATGTCAATGACTAGATATTTTTTAACTATATAGATTTCTTAATTCAACAGCCGGAATTCCTACATACTAGACTCGAAGCAATTATCCTGTTAAACCTCTATAAATTAATACAGTCGGGACTAGGGAAATTATATTAATTTAGTGAATTATTAAATTATCGAGTTAATAATTTAACACGTTCTCACCAAGTCGGGACTGAGATAAACTATTATTTAATCGATGTTATTAATTTATCGAGATTCTACTGTATATTGATAAATATCCAACGGCCTCGTTTGGGGAATAAGGATGGGTCTTGATAGACAATATAATAAAGACGTATCAAATATTACACAATCCTACGAAGGATTATTACTGCCCAATACAAGAATTGCATGATCAAAAATCTTAAACATAAGATAACCACATATTACATTATCATGGACAAATGCAATTTTATCCAATTCAATCAATCTTATCAATCCCATAAACATTCCCAAACGAGGCGCAACGTTGATAAAATAAGACACGGCCTCAATCAACACTACGGCTACCGCACAGTCAACAAATAGTTTGCGACAATTGTTATTACATCAGTACACAATACAAAATAGTACTAACTCACTAAAAATAAAGAATCGCAGCAAACAAACGAGAATTACTACCCAATGCAAGAATTGTATAATCACAAACGTTAAACATAAACATAACATAATCACATATTACATAATCATGGACAACGGAGTTTTATCCAATTCAATCAATCTTATCAATCCCATCGATATTCCCAAACGAGGCCCAACGTTGATAGATTAAGACATGCCCTCAATCAATACTATCCCACAATCACAAACAGTTTGTCACAACTGTTATTACATCAGAATAAACTCTTACCAAACTCTTACCGCACAGCAACAACATCAATACTAAGGCCTCGTTTGGTGGCCAAGATAAGAGTAAACAATCTAGTGAAACCCAATTGTATTATTGGATGTTCCAGGATAAACCATGATAACATAATATTTGCGGGTTGAGTCGACCCAGCAAGTTATTGGGATTTGGGGATACCAAACATCAAACAAAGTCCAATTATTTAGTTAATCACGACTAATCTCCCCAACCAAACGAGGCCCAACTCACTCAAAATAAAGAATTGCAGCAAAAGAAAAAAAAAAGACGGAAATTCACGAGAAATCGAAGCACAAACACACAAACAATGTACCTCAACTCGACTTTGCTTAAATCAAGCCTCCTAGTCAAGATAAGATTATTTAAATAATCTAGCGAAACCCAATTGTATTATTGAATTTTCCATGATAACATAATATTTCAGGGTCGATCCAGTAACTAAAACCATGATAAAATAATATTTGCGGGTCGACCCGGCTAGTTACCGGGATACCAAACATCAACCAGAGTCCAATTATTTAGTTAATCACGGCTAATCTGCCCAACCAAACGAGTCCTAACTCTCACTAAAAAAAATAAGAAATTGCAGCAACAAAAAAACAAAAGGTCGAAAAAATTACGAGAAATCGAAGCACAAACACACAAACAACAACGCACCTCGACTCGACTCTGCTTAAACCAAGCATCCTCTTGCCCAATCTCCTCCACAGTCTTGTTCTTACTAACCCCATCTCCCAATTGCAACACTTTCTCTCTCCTCCCATTCCCATTTACAACATACTTGTCCAAATTCTCATCGCCGCTCTCGAATTTCACAGACCCATTTCCGTAATTTCCAACCGAACCATTACTGTAGCCATAACCCCCATTTGCATTCCCATTAACCCTGCTATTAAGCTTAGTCGCCAATTCAGTGTCCTTTTCGTCGAGAACAGCGCTCTCTTCTCTCTGAACAGCTGTAATTCTTGTCCGAAGATTAATGGGTCTGAAGGGGGATAGCTTGAACTTTCTTGTCGGGTTATGGGGAGAACGGAAGATGATTTCCGGTAAAATAGGAGCAGCTAAAGAAGCTGTAAAAGAAGCCATCTTTTTTTCTTTACAAAAAAAAGAGTGGGTTTCTTGAAAAATCTCAGTGAACCCAGCAATTCATTTGTTGGGAGTGAAGAGTGTGAGCAGAATTGAGGACGGAGAATCTGGTGAAGGAGAATTGGAGTTGGGTTTTTTTTTTTTGATCGAATTAGCTTTTTAGAGAGAGAAAGAAGAGGGTGTGGACAGAAGGGAGTGTACGTGGAGAGAGAAAAGATTAGCTTCAGTAAAAATGGAGGTTTCTTATTGGATGATAGGTTTCTGTGGGGGTGCACCCGTGCAGCTGTGGGGTTCGTTCGTTGCACTGAACGCACAAAGGCAAATTCACGAGCTTTTTTATTTTTTTGACAAAATTCATTTCACCCCCTACAAATTTCTTATTTTTGCACTTGTCTCTACAAAATATTATTTTGTTTGCACTTTGTCCCATAAGTCAATTTTCGGTGGGTGATTGTGCAATAAAAGTATCATTTTATAAGGGCAATGTGCAAAATATAATGTTTTTTAAGGGGTAAAGTGACACAAAAATAACATATAAAGGGGGCTACGTGCGACAAAAATACTCAATTACGATGAATAATCTATCGAAATTTTGATATGGGAGCAATGTGCAACAAGAATAACATTTTGAAGAGGAACATTCACTCTTTAATATTTTGAGGGGGTAAGTGCAAACAATAGAATTTTTGGGGGTGATGTGCAATTTGCCCTATTATTTATTTTACATAATAAACCAAGGTTCTAAAAGGCGGTTATCGGGTACGTGGCGGTTTGGGACCGCCACACGATAAATCGGCGCGACGGTGATTTATCGGAGATAAATCGGAAATATATCGGTTTTTAAATTTAGTGTAATATATTTCTTAAAAAATATTTGTAAATACTCAAAATATATATAAAAGAATATTTAAACATAATTCTATCCTATCATTCATATGTTATTATATAATTATAATTACTCAATAAATAACAAAAAAATAAAAATAATAAGATCATAATATAATAAAAGATTTTTACGAAATACAAATACTACGCAAGTCTTTCGCATCAATAATTAATATAAACACAAAAAAACATAAATTGCGGGGTAGTACTTGGTTAGGTTTTGGAAGTTGAAAAAATTGGAGAAAAACAAAAAATCAAAACATATTTTCATTTTAATTTAAATTTATTAAAAAAAAAAAAAAAAAAAATCCGATTTGTTGACCGATATATCGGTTTGACCCGCCAAAAAACCGCCGCAAACCGCCTCACCGTAAAAAACCGATATTCCAAACCGCCTCAATAAAATCGTAAAGGTTTATAACCGATACCGATATGGCGGCCGATATATCGACCGCCACGACCGATATTTAGAACACTGTAATAAACATAAATAAAATAAAGGGCAAATTGCACTTCACCACCTTAAAAATGCCTATTTTGCACTTTCCCCCCTCAAAGTACAAAACGAGATTGTCTGTACAACTCGGTGCACTTTGCCCCAAATGTATATTTCCGGTTTAATTCTTGTCGGATTTGAGTAAATTGGAAGGGTAATTTCATCTTTTAAGGTACGTTATAATGATTATGAATAACAAATAACAAATTTTGTCGAATTTGGAAGAAAATATCGTCTAATCCGGAAAGTGAATTTCATCAATTTGGGAACAAGATTTTGTTAATTTGAAAAACCTAAGTAACTCTTAAAATGAGGATTTTCAACTGGAACAAGTAAAATTACATACACACCCTTAATTCCATGAGACTTAGACCGAAAATACACATTTCGGATAAAGTGCACCGAATTGTATATTTAGGGGGAGTGCAAAAAATACATTTTTTAAGGGGGTGAAGTGCACGTTGCCTGAAATATATAATAATACTAAAATTAGGGCAAATTGCAGGTCACCCCCTATAAAATTCTAATTTTCACACTTTACCCCCTCCAAATTTAAAAAAATAAATGTCCCCTTCAAAATGTTATTCTTGTTGCACATTGCCCCGATAGCAATAAATTCCGATGGATTATTCACCGGAGTTGAGTGTTTTTGTTGTATGTTGCCCCTTTAAATGTTATATTTTGTGTTGAAGACTAATTCAAAGTCTGACTAAGTATTTAGATTAGTTAGAAGTGGCCTAATACTATGTTTTGAGTTAGTCAAATAAATTCCTAATTTTTAGCTAATTAGTAGTGGTTAATTAATAGTGGGAAACCTCTGTTTTTTTCTCTATAAATAAAGAAGCCTCTATACATCTTTTTTATAAAATAATATACCGAGTGAGTGCTTCTGCAATTCTTTTCCTTTATACAATATTGCTTTTTATACTTTTTTTCTCCAACAAATTGGTATCTAGAGCCATCTTGAGAGAGTGAGTAGAGAGGATAAAAATTCGTGAGTGGAGTGAAACACTTGAGAGGAAAACCTATGGCTAATAATGGCAATGCGATGGGTGCGGCACAACCTCTTAATTCCCATATTCAAAGGGGAATGCTACGAGTTTTGAAGTATCCGTTTGAAGACTCTACTTAAATCTCAAGGTCTTTGGGATTTGGTGGAAAAAGGGTTTACCGACCCTGACGACGAAACCAGATTGAGGGAGAACAAGAAGAAAGATTCAAAAGCGTTGGTGATAATCCAACAAGTTGTCCATGATAGCGTCATTTCGCGAATTGCAGCGGCAACCACGTCAATGCAGGCCTGGTCTATTCTGCAAAAAGAGTTCCAAGGTGACTCAAAGGTGATCGTTGTGAGATTGCAATCACTTCGTCGCGACTTTGAAACCTTGGTCATGAAAAGTGGAGAACCGGTTGCTGATTTTTTGTCTAGAGCAACGACAATAGTCAGCCAAATGCGATCCTACGGAGAGAAGATTGTCGATCAAACGATCGTTGAAAAGGTATTGAGAAGCTTGACTCCAAAATTCGGCCACGTAGTGGCTGCGATTGAAGAATCGAAAGATTTATCAATTTATTCATTTGATGAACGGGTTCATTGCAAGCACATGAGGCTAGAATCAACCGTTCACATGAAAACAATGAAGAAAAGGCATTTCAAGTGAAAGGTCCAGCCGCAAGAAATGGCTGGAGTGAGAACTCGACATACAAGAGCCGTGGAAGATGAGGTTTTCGTGGTCGTGGTCGAGGTAATGGAAGAGGCAGAGGTCGTTTTGATGGGCAACGGCAATCCAATGAACCAAGGAACAACAAGAGCAACATCCAATGTCATCATTGCCAAAAGTTTGGGCATGTACAAGCTGATTGTTGGTACAAAGACCAACAAATCAACTTTGCGGCAGAAAATGGAGACGAAGGCAAGCTTTTTATGGCTCATTGCACGGCTAATACTCAGTCACGCAATATATGGGTCGTTGACAGCGGTTGTTCGAATCATATGACCGGCACCAAATCAATGTTTACGGAGCTTGACGAGACGCAAAGAATGAAGGTTGAACTTGGCAACGGCCAAGAAGTGCAAGTTGAAGGAAAAGGAACGGTGGGCATCGAAACCTCCAATGGTAACGTAAAACTCGTCCATGATGTTCAATTTATTCCTGATTTAGGATACAATTTGCTTAGTGTTGGGCAATTATTGGTTAGTGGATATTCATTATTATTTGATGACTATACATGTGTCATTGAACACAAGCAATCAGGGCAAATATTGATTAATATCAAGATGACTGCGAACAAAATGTGTCCACTTGAAGTTTAAAGCATGAGAAATTTTGCTCTTGCTGCTGGCGGAAAAGATGACTCACGGTTATGGCATTTACGCTATGGGCATCTCAATATCAAGGGTCTAAAATTACTAAGTGATAAAGGTATGGTTTTCGGTCTACCAAAAATCGGCTCGATCGAACTTTGTGAAACAAACTAGAAAACCGTTTCCTGTTGGAAAGGCTTGGAGAGCTTCAAAGAGTCTCGAATTAATCCATGCTGACTTATGCGGTCCTATGCGTACTATTTCTTTTGGTGGGTATCGTTATTTCTTTCTCCTTACCGATGATTATAGTCGTATGAGTTGGATTTTTTTTTTGGAAAACAAGTCGGAAGCATTTCAAAAATTCAAACACTTTAAAGCTATGGTGCAGAAGCAAAGTGAATCGTTCATTAAAGCACTTCGCACTGATAGAGGTGGTGCGTTTTTATCTTCCGAATTTAATTATTTTTGTGAAGTAAATGGCATTCACAGGGAATTGACAAATCCTTACACTCCGGAGCAAAACGGAGTTGCCGAGCGGAAGAATAGAACGGTGGTTGAGATGGCAAGAAGCATGTTACAAGCAAAGGGGCTTTCAAATAAATTTTGGGCTGAAGCCGTAGCAACTTCTATATATATATATATTGAACATTTCTCCCACAAAGGCTGTTATGAACACAACTCCTTTCAAAGCTTGGCATGGTAGAAAACCCTCTGTAAGTCATTTAAGAATTTTTGGTTGTATAGCTTATGCTTTGGTAAATTCTCAGTTCCATCATGAACTAGATGAAAAATACGAAAAATGTATTTTCATTGGTTATTGCATGGAATCCAAAGCATATAGATTATATAATCCTCTCAGTTGTAAGATTTTGATTCCAAGAGATGTGGTATTTGCTGAAAATGCAAAGTGGGATTGGCATAAAGGTGATGACAATGAGCAACAAAATATTCCTCTGCCCATGGAAAAATTTCCAAATGGAAGTGAAGGGAAAATTCTTGAAAATTCTTCACCTGGTTCTTCAGTGGCATCACCCAACTCGTCCACTCCATCATCACCGAGCCAAAACTATTCGTCAACTCTTGAAGATTCTTCGGATGAGTCAACACCAATAAGGTATAGATCATTGCAAGATATATATGCATCTTGTCAATTTGCTCTTATTGTTTCAGACCCTCTAACATGTGAAGAAGCGGCTGCAAAAGAAGAATGGCAAAAGGCTATGAAGGAGGAATTGACGGCAATAGAAAAGAACGGAACATGGGAGATGATACACTTACCAGAAGGCAAAAATACAATTGGCTTGAAATGGGTATTCAAAACGAAGTTTGCTGCGGATGGAAGCATACAACAACACAAAGCTCGACTTGTGGCAAAAGGGTATGCACAACAATATGGTATTGATTTTGAAGAAACGTTCTCTCCGGTAGCTCGTTTCGAAACCGTGAGAATTGTCTTGGCGTTGGCTGCACAACTACAATGGCCTGTGTACCAATTCGACGTTAAGTCGGCATTTTTAAATGGT